TTTGGCTAGCTTTTTATTAAACCAATTGCAGTGACATACAGTCACACAGGGTAAAGGAACATCCCACACCTGTGTGTGAGGATTCCAGCTTTGGGGGGGGGGTTAGTTATGTTGTGTCTTTTCAAACTGGAGACATTATTAGGTATGAAATGCCATTTGATTGTAGCTTTGATTGATACTTTGCTGAAAAATGGTGTGAACGTTCGAAGTGCTTACTGGCTACCTGTATGCCGTTAGGGAAATTCTGTCTGAGCCATCTGTTCTGAAACTAGGTTGTGGTTTTTCTATGGTTGAGTTATAAAAATCCTTTGGATTATTAGGAATGCAAGTTTCTTACTGAGGATGTGTGGAAGCTGTTTTCTCACCTGAGGTGTTTTCTATTATTTTCTTGATGATATCTATTGACACCCAAACTGGAATGTTGATGAAGTTTAATCTTCCCGTCATTTGTTACTTTGTGTGTGTGTTGTATCCAAGAATCAAATGCCTTGCCCAATGTCATCAAGGCTTACTTCTGTTTTTCTTCTATAACTTTTTTCTCTTCCTGCTATCAATGCTCTAATTTGATGAGAAAACAGGAAGGCCATCTGAGCCCAGTGACCACAAAGCTGCATAGCTTGTTGGTGACAGATTTTAGAATAACAATTTCCCCCTAAGATGTCCAGTTCTGTGTCTTCTGCACTGTTAAAATGGTTGTTCACCAATGTGAACAACTATTTTAGGGCCGAGAAATCAGATCTTTCCCTAGAGCGCCAGTGACCACCATCACCAGGAGGGCACCAGATACACAAAAGCACTCCATGCTGGGCCTGGTTTAAATAATCAGGTCAAGTCAAAGCCAGAACAGCCATCAAATAGAAAGTGCTGAGCCTTCAAAGTCAGCAAATAAGAAAGACTTATTAGTTTGCTGGGAAAAAAAGTCATTTGTGTTAAATATTTTTTTAAACACAACTTGCATTACATCTCATTTCCTTTATTCTAGAATCTTACACATTCCCACATAAGTTTTTCCTATACTGTTTCCACTTCCGTCACTTTCTCAGAGACATCTTGCAATTCTGCTTTTTAAAAGACACCATCTCGTTATGTGGATGCATTTATTCTTGTTCCAGTTGATAAGCACAAACAGGGAATGGCTAGAGACAGACATTCAGTTAGGTGCACAATGACTGAATAGTCACTGTATAGAAGAAAGACTTTACCACAAGAAACAGTTACTGTTGTTAATAAAAGGAGACACTGGAAACCAGATCAAGGGTTGGGTGTGGAGGCACACACCTTTAATCCCAGCACTGGAGAGGACGATGCCAATGAATCTCTTTGAGTTCAGGGCCAGCCTGCTCTACACCGTGAGTTCTAGACCAGCCAAAGTTGCATAATGAGACCCCGCCTTTTAAACAAAAAAGAAAGAAAGCAGAGCAAAGATCTCTGGTCTAAGAAAGACATTATGGTCTGTCTTAGTTTGAAGGTAATACGCCCCCCCCATAATCCCGTAATTCCATAATCTCAGGGAGTGGTGCTCTTAGGAGGCATGGCTTTGTTGGAGTGGGTGTGTCCTTGTTGGAGGAAGTGTGTCACTGTGGGGGTGGGCTTTGAGTTTTTTTTCTCAAGCTTCACTCTGTGTGACAATGGTTTCCTGTTGCCTACAAGATGTAGGACTTTCTGCTATTTCTCCAGCACCATGCTCCAAACTGGAAAGGGTGAGAAATACAATCATTTCTTCTACATGTATTAATCTGCAAACCCCCGGTGTAGACAACTTACGACTTGATCCAATGGTTGCATGAAAATAGGTAACCGTTCCACAATGGGAGTCATCACTTATTGATAACATGATATTGTGGTGTCTTCATAATTGATTTAAATCTACCTAATGGTCCTAGAGTCACGTGTATCCTTGATAAATCTCAGAGGAGTGACAGTGAGGTGATGCATTAGGAATAATTTATATTGTTCTGCAACTCCAGCTGTACCTGTGGGGCATGTGTAAGCAGGTAAACATGGAACAGACAGCCAGGACTCAGCAGCCAGACTCCTGGATTTCATTCCTGGCTGTATGCTGTGGGTGGTACATTTCTATGAATACAGTGGGCACTCCTTAATGAGTGTGCCTGTGCTGTATGCATATACATGTAGGCATGGGCTGTGGGGGACTGCACATGTCTGCGTGGGTTCATGTGGAGGCCATAGGCTCCATCTTCCCAAGGTCTGATGCTTGTTTTATGAGTTATACAAGATGGGAGGAATAATTTTCACCCAACTCCTACATGGCTACCTAAAGATCAATGCCCAGCACCATCTCTATAGGGAAACTGGGCCAATAGTTTATGCCTTAGTGCTATTTCAATGATAGCATATTTGGGAATAAAGGGAATTCTAGACAGGATGTTTAAGGAAGTGATTGGTAACCCCCACATTTTCCTATATGTTATAAAACTTTCAGTGAAACAGAAATGTAATGATATGGACCGAGCTCATCAAATACTTTAGCATGAAGAGACGCTTATGTGATTAAAGTAAGCTAAGTGGGATTGTAACTGAGGGGAATGAAGCCATTGCTTTGGTTGTAATGTTTAGAGACAAAGGCTTAATATTAGTATCGATTAGTTGCCTTTTACCTGGTGTATCTCTAGTTAGAGGTAAGTCTTGATCCTAAGGAATGAATTAGAGACGTAGACATCAATTCTTTGGGGTGGGGGTTGGGGAGTGGGCATCTCCTTATGCTCCTTTGGTAATGTCTCTATAGTTTGGCCCTCACAGCTCCTCAGGTCAGGTCACTAGCACAGTTTTCCACACTTTTTTCTATGAATTGCCTGTTCACATAGCTTAATTAAGGAAACTTTTGGCAAGAGCTATTTTTGTTTTCATCTCTCGCTGTATTCACCAAAAATAAATCTTTACTACAGTAAGACCCACTACTGCATCAGGAAAGACAGACTAGGTGTGGGGGAAATGAGAAACAGCTCCACTGTCTGAGTAGATTAATGCTTCCAGGGTCCTCTCGCGCTGTCTCTCATGCGACCTCACAGTATCTCACCCCGTAACGTTGCAATCTCCTGGCAATGGACAATCAGGAGTGGAGGGTGGAGCCTCCATAGTTGGATGCTCCTGTTCTGAAAGGACTTCTTCCATTGGCCAAAGGAAGTCAACTGGACATAATAGTCCAGTTCCCCAGGGGTCTACAAATAGCCGGGGGCCTGATATCAGTGGGCAGCAAAACTACAAGACATGAGTACATATTTGTTGACTGAAATCCAACGCCTTTTTTTTTTTATCTTATTTCTACCCTGTGCATAACTGTCAATCTGTATAGTAATGTTATTATTGACTCATTTCCTGCCTTAACCCTTTGGACCCCAGTTTCACAAAGCAAACCAACACCCAGCCTATTTGTTTGTTTCTATTGACCACCTTAAAAACAGACTGAACAGTTTTTTAAACATTTGTCAAGATAAATTAATTTGAATCGCTTTCAGCACATCCACGAAGCTGTCATTATCATGGCTACATCTTAATTGCCTAGTTATCTTATCACATTCATTAAACAGGTCACTAAACTTTATTCCCTTCCCACTCACACAATAAATCGTTTAAGTTTTACTAATGATACCTTGACAGTGTTATCTAAGTCGATGCCATTTAGATATACTGCAGTAAATGTATTTAAAATGTCACCACAAAAGACATTATCACACACACACTCACACATGCACACACACATGCACACATACACACTCACACACACGCACACATACTCACACACACATGCACACACACTCACATACACTCACACTCACACACACACATGCACACACAACACTCACACACACACACACGCATCTAAATAAGAATTGGTGTGTATTAAACAATTAGAGATTTGGGTTCCCGATTCAGATGGCTTGTTTAGTAAGCATGTCCCAGGATAGATTTTAAGGGGACAGTGACATCAGGGCATGGTTTATAGGAGATCAGTCGCCATGTTTTCAGAAGAGAATGGCTAAACTCACACACACACAAAACAAAACAAAACAAAAAACATTTAGTAGCCACTTAATGATCTCATAGTCTCCGACCAGCAAACTCTAGATCCAGCCCACTTGTCTTGAGCCTCGTCTTCATGAACTGCCCATGGCTGCTCTGGGAATCACTCTCTCAGTAACCTGCCTGTGTGTGATGTTGACTCCCTGGAAAAATCTGAGTCAGTCAGTTATTTATTTACTTATTTATTTATTTATAAGGAGAGTGTTCCATTTTCTAGATTAGGCATTGGTAAAACATAGCCTGACTTCACATAGCCTCTGAATGAAGAATGGTCTTTATATGATAAGGAGAGATTTGAAAATGAAGTGGAGGAAGGAGAAGCAGAGAAGGGGAATCAGCGAGGGCACAAAAAACAAAACAAAACAAACACATCAAAACAAAACAAAAGGACAACCCAGACCATACCATGCACCATGCATAAAAATAAGAAGCTGCATCACAGCCATAACTCCCAATGCAGAAGCTGTTGAAAGGGACCTAGATACCTACCTGAATAAGTGCCCTAGGTGATGTAAACTCAACTCCTCTGAGGCCATTTTTTGGGTAAGAGGAGACCCCAAGTCACAGCCACCAGGCTCTCTGGAGTGGGGATTAACTGGGTAGCAGTCTTTAGAGGCCTCTGCTAGGCTATTTTTAGGAGGATGAGTGGCAGATGCCCTGCTTTCCCGGGGTTCTCTGCATCCAGGAGATGTGACTTTTCATCGCATTTCCCTGCACTTCTCAAAAGAGCACTTCTGAAATGTCAGCTGCCAGTCCACACTGGCACCTCTGGCACCCAGTCAGCTGGTTCCTCCTCTCCTACCAGCCCTCTCCAGGAAACCAGGGGTGGAGCATCCCTCAGGCCACGCCCCATGTCGCCAGTCCCCTGAGCGTTCCCGGAAGCTGATGGTCTTGCCGTGGTGGAGTTGATTGGCTGGTTGCGATTTTGGTCACCGCGGCGCGGGGTTCACGGCTGGAGTTGTTTTGGGCTGAGTTTGCATAAAAAAGCATGGCTGGAGAGTGTCTTCTCCTGCTGGAGCTGCTGGGCCCCCTGCAGCCGGATAAGGACACCAAAGAGGAGGAGAGTGTACCGGAGGATGAGGGGGACCAGGATTCGGAGTTCGTGGACGCCGAGGAGCTCTGCAGTGGCGGCATCAGGGCGGGCAGCCTCCCTGGGCGCATCCGAGGTGAGCGAGCGCCAGCGGGGCCGGGTTTGCGACTTTGAAGAAGTACTTTCGATTCTCACTACCCGCACCCATGGCAGCTCACAAGCAGACCTGTGGCAGGACATGGCTGCCTCACCGTACTTAACACGGAGTAGAAATAGTGATGATGGCTGTGACTAGGAGTACATACTAAGTGTTAAGTCGCCGGGCGGTGGGCGGTGGGCGGTGGTGGTACACGCCTGTAATCCCAGCCCTGAAGGGAGTCAGATCAGAGGCAGGCTGATCTCTGTACCTTTGAGGCCAGCATGAATGACCGGACAGCTAGGGCTGTTACACAGAGAAACCCTGTCTCGGGAAAAAAAAGTTGGCTTTTGGCATATATCTTCTCAGTGTTAGCAGTTGTTGGAGGCGGTTTTACAGTCGAGGAAATAGACGCTGTGCCCATATTCCCTCCCAATAACAGAACCTTAGTATTACACGGCCCTGCCTGAATCAGACAGTTGTTTTTTAGTAACCTTGAGAAAACACATAGCCGCACACACGAACATACACACAAAACATGCACCTACATTTATATACACTTGTGCACATACACACATACATATATATATACACACACAATTATGCATACACATGTACATATATACCACATACATTTACACATGTCCATACACTCACACAAACATACACTCACACACTTACATATACACACATTTACAAATACATATACACACATAAACACATGTCCATACATTCACACATACATATATACATACACACAATACACACATACACATACACACACACATACACAAATCACATACACATACATGTATATACATTTACAAATATATATACACACACACAATACACACACATGTCCATACATTCACACATACATATACATTTACACATATACATATACATACACACTTGCATATACATGCACACATGTACACCCACACATAAACACATGCACGTACATTCACACATATATACACACATACACATCACATTCACACACATGCACTCATATGCATACATATATACATGCCCACACATTCGCACATACACGTGCATACACACATATACATACACGTGCATTATATTTGCATGGTCTAGTACAGTAATAGCTGCTGACCTTGTGTGGTAACTGACACTGGTAACTGAAACACAGCTGAATTTTAAGTATTACTAATTTGAATTTAAATGCAAAGGATGAAGCATTGATGGAATCGAAACTGGCTATCCTGGCCAAGCATTTGGTCCTGGGACACCCCAGGGAGAGCAAATGATGACATTTCCATGTCAGCGGAAACACGAGTAGGCAGCCATTCTGTAATCATGGAAATACCCACGCTAGTGCTTAGACGGACTACCAGACAGTACTTGGAGTCTTGACATTCGTGAGATGCAGACAAGGCTTTGCTAAAGAAGTGAGCTGAACTGAGCTCCGTAGTAAATGGAGGGACCAGCCTGGAGAGGTGAGCCTGGCTGCCTGCAGCAGCGAGCATGGCTGAGAGAGGCCGGAACAGCTTAATTCAAAGGGAGGCACCGAGGTCAATTCTTAGAGACTTACAATTAGGGACCAGTGTCAGCTGAGGCAACGGGAGGGAGGAGGTAGACTGGGTTTAGGAGAGCTGATCCATGGCTCACATTTGCTTCCAGAACGCATAGACGGGAGTAATGTCCTGCTGTAGACAGGCAGTCAGAGAAACAGGTGGGCAGAAGTGTTAGAGGTAGCAGGTAGATGTCTGTTTGGGATGCTTCCTGTGTGTATGTGTGAGGGGATTACAGAGATTGGGGGAAACGTTTGTTTGTAAATTTCCTGTTATCTTTACCTTCATCTTCCCCCTTCCTTTAGTTTCTATCCCCGATGAAAACACTAAAGAGAGGTACACCGTGCAAGGCCGGTTCCCGCTCGTAGGTCCTTGGTGGCGAGTGAAGGTTCGGGTTGTAAAGCCTGTGCGATCCAAGGTCTACCAAGCTCAGGGATTTCCTTCCTACTTCCTGCAAACCGATGTGTCGCCACGGCATCGCAAAAACATCTTTTCGCTGTTCCTTAAAGAATGTAACTATGCACTTAGAGATAAGTTCATGAAATGGGTAGAGAATGTGTTGGGCTATGAAAATCTAAACTTCGGGAACCTGCGGGAGACGCTGAGGAACTTTGAGAGAAGAAATGGAGAGAAGAGTAAAGAGCAGACCACACAGAGTGAGCAGGCCACACAGAGGTTGCCAGTGGAGGACTCGTGTAAGTATGACTTCTGGCGGGGAGTTTTTGTGCCGTCCAGACATTGAATGACTGCAAGCATTGCAAATGTTAAATCCCTGCCATACCTTGTGTGGGACAAATTGAGCCTCTCTGATCAGAAAATCTGCAGTGCTCCTTAATATAAAACTTTCTGAGCACAGGCGGATACTATATGTGATGTTGTCTCATCTGTATGCATGAACTCGGCCTCTTCTGCAAAATTTAAACATATCTTTACAGTGTTATTTTTCAGCCTGTGTGTTTAAGGTGCGTATGAAAAAGAAATGGATTGCATATTTGGGCTTGATTCCATCCCCAAACCTTCTTATAGGTAAATATTCTAAAATATGAAAAAAAATCCATATATTTCTCCCAAGCATTTCAGATCAAGGGCACAAAATCTTCTCACAGTCCTCAGGCCACATGTGGCCAGGGATGACTATGAACGTGGCTCAAGCTGACCTTAAGTAACCTTTCTTAAGACATGAGATTTAGCCAGGCAGTGGGAGGCAGAGGCAGACAGATCTCTGTGAGTTTGAGGACAGCCTGGTCTACAGAGTGAGTCCTAGGTTACTCAAGGCTACACAGAGAAACCCTGTCTTGAATGATTAAAAGAGAAAGACATGGAACTTATTTATTTGTGGCTCAGTTATTGGTTTTCAGTTATGAACCTCTTAGGTGACAGTGTGTTGCAGTGTTAAAAGGTTTGAGCATGCCTGGGTTCTTTTTGAAGTCAGTTTGATGAAAATATTATGTTGTATTTGGTGTCCCTCCCCTGCAACATGCCAGGATTGGATTCCAGGGTCTACAAGATCCCGGAGAGTTTACCTAAAAACTGTAGTTCCGTTTCTTGACTTTTGAGTTCCAGAACGTACCTTGAGCTATGAAGATAAAATTCAGTTGTTCCTCATTTTAAGATGGCTGAAGAAAAAGGAAAGCTTTGGAATAATCTATTTAAGAAACATTTCAATTTTGAATGACTTAAAATAGCTCTAAAATGTTGTTTTCTATCTGGACATCTGCAGACAGAAGGCATTTCCTTTCTTAGTGAAAGCAAAGTCACTTTGCATCACACCAAAATGACTTTGAGGACCAAAGAATCATGGTTACAATTGGGGAAATACTTGTAAAGGCTAATGTGTAAATGATTTATTTTCATGCTTAGTTTTAAATTTACCCTTGTACGATGAATTATAGGTTTTTTAATGATTATATTGCAAACAAAACAAATGACTAAGAGGCATTAAGTACGTAATAAAGGACAGAAAGTTTGGTGTTCATAACAACCAAACCATCCTGGTAGATATAGTCCTATTAACGTTCTTAGTGCTTCAGGTAAGTTGAGTTACCTTTGTGATTTAAGAGCCTTCAGCTGGTTGTGGTAAGAGAAATCTCTCCTGGTACATCTTTCTGGGCTCACTGGTATGTTTTGCTTTGTTCTTTCTTCATCCCCTACAGTTGCGTTTGTGAGTGTAATGATAGCTTTGCGGTTTCCAAAAGTCATGCAGTTCCTTCCAGTTCTTCTTCCTCGACACTTTAGAAGGCTCATCAGCTCAGATTCTGAAGAGGTGTTGCAAAAGATGGAAGATGCCTTGGGTACACATCCGTGGAAGCTCGGGTTCCGAAGAGTGAGTGAGACATTTGTCCGGCAGTTAGTAATCTGCTATAAGGCAGAGTTCTTCAAATCTGGCCATGTTTGAATTCCTTTCTGCTGGGGATTTAGTGTTGGATTATTATTTTTTTTTTCTTGAGTGTCATATGGCCAACATAAATGGCTTAGGTCTATAATTCTGATGCAACTATAAAGTCAATCAATAATGAAGTCAATTGATAAACACAAACCAATGCAGCAAGATGTATGCCATTCAGACTGCCACTATTGATTTAATTATGCGAGGTGTCATGACGTGACATGCTCTTGTGTCATTCAGCTGTCATTTGTATCAGTCTCACTGAAGGCCAAAGTCCTTAGGGCTCTGTTGACTCCGTCTGCTCTGCCGTGCAGTCTGCCATTTCCCAGGGTGACCATTGAAGACTTAAATATCCTCAGGGTACATCAAGCTGTTATCTGCTTGTTATTTGGCACAACCACGCCGTGTATAAGGAAGCCCATGCTGGTTCCTATTGTCAGAGATGAAGAGTTGAAACTGGCACTTGAAGGCCCTGGATGGTGTTAGAATTAAATGTGGTAGCTATGACATGGTTTTCCGAATGAAAACACAACTGATTAAGTTTAACAATCTCCAGTAAGTGATGACTGCCTCCCAGTACAGCATAAAAGTAGACATGTTCCTTGATGGCTTGCTCCAGAAAAGCCCTAGACTTAGCAGAAGCAGAGGACGGTAAGGCAGGAATTAGCTGTGATGTGACCTGTTACTCATCAGGGCTCAGGTCTCTCCTCCCCTCCATGTTAATATCTAGGAGTCTTATTTGTATCCAGTCTCTTTTTGGCAGGAATTTAATCATAGCTTACTTTCTTTTGTGTGCTAATCTTTCCTTCATCAAAAGACACCAATCTTAGAAGTTAGAAGTGTTGGGAGATGTTCTTTTATATGCTATGAATATATGTTTCTCTTACTGGTTGATGAATCAATGTTGATTGGCCAGTAGCCAGGCAGGAAGTATAGGCAGGGCTGCCAGACTAGGAGAATTCTGGGAAGAGAAAAGGCTACTGGGAAGATAGAATGCCCGACATTCTCCGGTAAGATAAGGATTAATAGTTATGGGCCAATAATGAAGAGATAGCTAGCTAATAAGAAGCCTGAGCCAATAGCCAAACAGTTTATAATTAATAGAAGCCTTTGTGTGTTAATTTGGGACTGAATGGTTATGGGATGGGACAGGACAGAAGCTCCATCTACACCATTCTAATAGTGTTATTAATGTTAAGGACTTTTTTTATTTATTTTTTAGCATTCGTGACTTTTTTGAAAGGCACTGTCTCCAAATATTGTCACATTCTGAGATGGTGGGGGTCTTCATGGGAATTGTTTGGCTCCGAGGGAAAGCTAGAAATAGAGGTGTCAGGAAGGGTGTCTTCATGGGAATAACGGAGCTGAGAGCCAACTTGGTGATACACTTCCTTTGTAGTATCTGGGAGGAATTATTAGTAGACACGTGGAAAACCAAGCAGCCACTCATTTCCCAGTACTTGCAAAGGCCCCTACAAAAGTGATGTCAATACAGGGATCCTCTCCCCTGGGACTCATACTTACATAGTACATGATTAACACTGGCTTAATTGGACTGACTAATTAAATGTGTGCTACAGCTCTTTCCATAGACAAGAAAAGAAGCCTGTGTCAAGATGATAGCACGAGCTCTTATAAAGCCTTTTTCCATAGTAGAGATTTAATAACCATTGTCTTAAAGGTTTTTTTTTTTTTTTTTTTTTAAGTCAAGGAAAAAAGATTAGTGATACTTAAACAACATGGAAGTCAATTCTGGAAGAAGACACTATTAGTGATGTCTTTAGGAGACCTGGGGAAGAATAAGTCAGGGGATTCCTCTCTCTCTCTCTCTGTGTGTGTGTGTGTACGTTAAGCCATGTAGCATTGTTTGATATTGAAAACGGTGATTTGAAAATTATATAACTGCCTAACTCTAAGGCAGTTAAAAAAACACGGATGATATACCATATAACCTTTTCTCCAGATTTTAAGATAACATGGTTACAACTATAGGTATACTATCCATATTGTGTATACTTTGTATGAAGCATCCTGAAGTCTTGTTTTCTTAAAGATAACCTACCGAGAGATGAAGCTTTTGGCCTGCGAAGCCAGCTGGACGGCATTCGGCCAGTGTCCCTCTCTGCTCCAGCTAATGACCGAGGAGCAGAAGAATGCTCTGGTCATATATTCTCAGCTGAAGCACATATGTAGAGAAGACGGGCACACATATGTTGAAATAAAAGACTTGACTTCAGCTGTGTCAAAGTACATGTCCTTCCAGGAAGTGTGCGGGTCTCTGGAGTTTATGAAGGACCTTGGCGTGGTGATCTACGAGAAGGACTGCATCTTTCTTTCTGAACTGTACCAGGCCGAGCAAGGCATCGCCTCCGCCATCTGCGACCTGATGAGCAGACCCCCGTGGCATTTACAAGTGGACGTGAGGAGCGTCCTGGCATCAATTTGCAATGGGAAGCCCAAAGATTCAGGAAGTGCTGAGGTGGTGGAAGGAAGCCAGGTGGACGAAGTTGGGTTAGAGCAGTGTGGCAGTGTCTCAGACCCGCAGGACCGTGGTGACCACATCAGGGATAATGGCGATCATGACATGGCAGCAGAAATAAATGATGTCCCACTGGACCAAGATCAGGTGGCCGCGCTGGAAATGATTTGTGCCAATGCTGTGACGGTTCTCAGCGGGAAGGGTGGCTGCGGGAAGACCACCATTGTCAGCCATCTTTTTAAACACGTGGAAGAGTTGGAAGAGAGAGAAGTTCGGCAAGCTTGTGAGGATTTTGAGCAGGACCGGGATGCCTCAGAAGAATGGCTTGCCTTTCCTAAGCAGAGTGCAGCAGCCGTGGACAAGGCTGTAGAAGTTTTGCTCACGGCGCCTACTGGGAAAGCAGCGGCTTTATTGAGGCAGAAAACCGATCTCCTGGCTTACACGCTGTATCAGGTAAAAACATTCGACGTTTTTCTGTGTAGATAAAACATTTCCCTGAAGACATCTTTGCTTCTTATTCAGAAGCAACCAGTTTGGGAGTTTCTCTTTCTTTCTGTTTTCACTCTGGAGATGAAACCCAGGGTCTTGTGCATGCCAGGCAAGCGTTTTACTACTGACTTACATATCCAGACTCAATAGTTTGTAAGTCCCTCTCCTGATGGGGGTTTTACATTGTTATTGGTTAGTACAGTATTCATCTGCCTCATTGTACCCCACCCAGTCCCCTCTGTCCCACCATTTCAGACCTTCCCAGGAGCCAGTCTTTGCTGCCCAGGTCCTCTGGACTTCCAGACTTCGGCTGTAGCTGAGCAAAGGGTTTCCTTCCACTGCTTGGCCCGTTGCTCAAGGTCCCAAGGTTGAGATTCGTGTCCCTTCATTTCAGCTGGGATATAGTACAGCCTCTTCCCCACTGTCCCCCGAGCCTCCCCCAGCTCCTGTTTGATGAGCACAGTACCCGGATGTTTAAACACCACGTTGGATACATCGGGCCAGGCCAGTTCCTCTTTCACGACACGGTCTCCAAGCTGTGCCTGAAGCTGCTGCCTGCCCTTGTGGACTGACACAGCCCTTCTGTGACTGACCCTGGCACACTCCTCTCAGCGTCTTCGTCAGGGAGGAGGAGGTGCCTGGTGGTTTCAAGCTCTGGAAGGCACACGAGTCACGCTTTCTGGCTGTCCTCCCCTCTCTCTTAATACCCAGACATCAGTGTGTGAAGTTAAACTCTGCCCTGGTGGACACTGAGATGCAACCTCACCTTATTTGACCCAGTCCCTCTGGGGGTGTTCAACCTTTCTGCAAGGTCCCCATGCTGCATAGGCTACCTGCCCTTTGTCACTGAACGGTCATTTCTGTCATCAGATCGAAGTAGTCCATCACTCATCCACAGGGCTCGATGCTTGCCTTGGAGCTTATCTCCCATGGCTAACAGAGCTTACTGTTCTTGTAAACATCTCCCGTGCCCTTATTTTATAGTAGCTGATCATTTACATCAGACCTACCCAGGACGGCCCATCTGTAAATTTCCCAGTTTGCAGTGCGAATGAACCCAGGCTCTGAGAGTAAAGTAGGAGACTGCATCCTTCACTGGGATCAGAGTGCATGCCTTAATGATGTAGTTTAACTCCTGGTACCACATGTATTTCTCACGAGGTCTGGTTACAAACATGTCCCTGTTGCCCGGTGTGCTGGAGATGGAAGGGAAATCCCTCTCCTGCAGAATGAAAGCTCTGCGGGGCTGAGCGCTTGGTTCTATGCCAAATTTCTTCATCTCTTCCGTCTGGCCAATAGTCACCTATCAAAGATCTGAAATGATTTTGTGTGGCTGCAAGAATGAATACTTTGCTCGATAATAGTGAAAGGGCTGAAGGCAGAGGCCACAACTGCCACATTATGTGTGTCGCAAAGAACTCTAAAGCACTTTGGAGGCTCAGGTGAAGAGAAAGGTGTTTTATTTAGGGGAAAATTCTCCAGGTGTATTGGGGGAGAATGTTCATAGTGTTCAGGGGTTTTCGGGGTGACTTATTGATTGGAAGGAAGTCTATGTATTGTAGAATCATAGAAATAAACCCAAAGGCAGGGAGTTTGAGCTTTACCTGTGGTATTTTGCCACTAACTCATGAAGCCATCTATATTTTAAAAATAATCATAAATACTGTTATATTAGCGACTAATGGTTTGATTGTGGTTTTGCAGTGTGGTGGTCAGAAGTTTGGAGTACTTGAAAGGAAACTCAGTAAGGAGAAAAAGGGTTGGTATATTTCAGAAAGCCAGGAAGTTTATTGAGAATGAAAGGCAATAGAGAAATTTCTCCATCCAGAGCGATGGGAGAAGTGTTCTGTCTGTTTGCATGCATTTTGCAAGGGAAATTGTGATTAAAACTTATTTACTAAGTTAAATGCAAGACTTCACTGGGAAACCATTTAAAAAAAAACTTTCTGAGCCCTTTACAGTTTGAGATTTTTTAAAATTCATCTTTTTTTGTTCATCTGTCCCTATATATGGTATGTTTTCCTTTTCTTTTTTTCTTTTTTTTTTTTTTTTTGCCTTTTCCTTATGATTTTATATTCTTCCCATCTGCCAGGTAAGCTTTATTCTTAAAACTGTAGACTTGCTAATTTCTAACCTGTTTTTTGTTTTGTTTTGTTTTTTATGTATACTTTACTTATAGGTCAGTTATAGCTTCTATTTTTGGAAGAAACTTAATGTGGACAAGCCATGGAAATTCTCGACAGTTCGAGTTCTGGTCGTGGACGAAGGGAGTTTGGTGTCTGTGGGGATCTTCAAATCAGTATTAAAGATACTGTGTGAGCATACCAAACTCTCTAAGCTTATAATCCTTGGTAAGTTAAAATACCAGGGGAGTCTGCCCATTCCCTTCACAGCATTACTGGTGCCAAGTTGTGGATGTCACTCCAGGCTTCGGCTTGTTGGACGTGAAAAGTGTTTCTCACAGCCCATTTTAGAGCTAGTGAGTTAAGCCTGCTGCCCTTACCCACCAGCCTGGGCAGGTCTTTGGCCAGTGTATCAGCCCGCTAGGATGAATGAGAACAGGGTTCAGTAAGTTACTGCTTACTGTTTGAGTAATGGCTATTAAAATAGTAAAAATGTCAGAGTCAGACTAAATCAGCATATAGATCATTTGGAAATAGTAAAGAGTCTGAATTATAGACCATTTTACAGTAATTTTATGATTCTAAACTAATAATTCAAATTAGGGCTTGCCAGCCTCCCAACCTGATGAGATTTAGTTAGATTCTGTGGAGTTTTAGGGGGTCAGTCCATTCTGTGATTAAATTGTAATGGATTGTATATAAATTACCATCTATTTTCGGTACTTTGGGGACATTTAATAAGCAGATGGTTCTGATAAAGTCTTTAGCATTCTCCCAGTTGTCACCGGTATGTGTTTTTCTTTTCTCTGGAGTTTGCTTTTTGCATCAGACTAAGATTTTCAGTAGACTACAGCCCCGTCATTTGGTGGCTAGAACTTGGACTGTTTTCACACCCATCCAGCTCATTTGCTTTATACTCAGTAGGCTTGTTTTATGCAATTGAGCCAGGTTCTGTATCGTCATGAGCTAGAGTATGTCAGGGATTTTTAAAAATACTCTTTTTAAAAGTAGTGAATGTTCCTAGTGGTTTTCCTGGGCCACAGCCATGAAGGCGATGGATTAAAAATTTGTCACCTAATTGTATTTTCACATCATGTACAACTTAATTGGGTTAAAAAATTATTTAGTATTTATTTGAATGTAATATTGGTAATAAGAATTCATTTTTATTGAGGACTTCATACATTGTATTTTGCTCACACCCATCCTCCATTCCTTCTCCTAACTCCTCCCTGGATATTTAATATTTTTAAATGATGTTAGATAATGACTTCAGAGGTGTTTTTTGTTTGCTTGTTTGTTTTGTTTTTTCTAAGTTACAGCAAGTCTACAATCACGCTCTCAATCAGAAGGATAAAAAACGATCTCCGAATTTTAGAATCCTAGTTGAGTAAAATCTTCCTGCCCACATCTCTCTTTAGGTGATATCAGACAGTTACCCAGTATCGAACCTGGCAACGTGCTTCAGGATGTTTTTGAGACTCTTAAATCGAGGGGGTGTGCCATTGAACTAAAGACAAACCACAGGACAGAGTCCCAGCTGATTGTGGACAATGCTACAAGGTATGAGATAATGAAGTTCCTGAATTTTGTCTTTGTTGTATTAGGAATGAAGGGTTTGTGTGTTTGTTTGAATCCGAATGATTCAGTACAAACCAGTTATTGTGTTCTTTTAGTAAACTTGTTCTGTCCTTTACTACATGCCTCTTGCCACAGTTGGAAAACCAAAGTTTGCATCATCTTTCATTAGTGGCCCAACATAAACCATTGTTAACCTTTAGGGATGCATGTATTTCTTGACTTTAAAAGTGCGTACGCCAGGTTCTTTGTATCTGTGGGTTCTATGTCTATGTTTACAACTAACCAGAGATTAAAACGTTTGAAAGAAATTGCCCAAGCATTGTACAGATTCTTCTCTTCATTATCTCCCTGTAATGTTGTTTACATGGCCTTTTCATTGTATTAGGTATCATAAATAATCTAGAGAAGTTGTATCTAGGTTATATGAAACTATCAAGCCATTTTTCATCAACAACGTATTTATTTTTATTTTATGTGCATTGGCGTTTTGCCTACATGCATGTCTGTGTGCGTGAGGTCTTGGAATTCTAGACAGTCGCTAGCTGCCATGTGGGTGCTGGGAATTGAATCCCGGGTCCCCTGGAAGAGCAGTCAGTGCTCCGAACTGTTGAGCCAACCCTCCAGCCCCATACCATGCCATTTTAAAAAGAGACCTGAGCTTCCACTTATCCTAGGAAGATTCTAAAGGTAATAAATATACAGGGATAACTGGAAATTAAAGTTGGTTAAGCTTAGAGACTGGACTATGCCCAAGGCAACAGAGACTTGGAAATGAGTCTTACATTCAAAGGGGAATTAAAAAAGAAATTTCTGATCATTTCTGTGGGAGGAAAAGCCCAAAGCAGAAAAACTAAATGTAGGATTTGACTCTGAGAGGAGTCCTGGTGGCTCCTGAGGTATCTACTTTTCAGTGGAAGAGAGTTCTTTCCCAGTGTTTTTGTCTAAGCCTTCTCTGGACTCAGATGTCTGGCATTTTCCATATTCAGTATGTAGGAGAATCAAAAGTTTTACTGTTTAGTGACTTTTAAGAAGATATTAAAATCTGTAGATATAATGGGACCATGAGGTACCAAGAGATGGTCTTGTTCACTGGGTCTAATTTTATCTTTAATTTTTACTCCTTTATGGATTCTTCTTTTGCTATGTGTACATTTGCTTGGTTGTATGCTATATATAATAATGGAATCTTATAGTATTTGTAGCCTATTATAAAATGAATTGACTGATTTATATATCCTGCAAGACCCCTTCTTCCTATTATCCACTAACAAGTATGAATTATTGTAAGGGCTTTAGGTTTCTTCATACACAGAGGCACATTTGTGGGTGGTGATGCTCATATATATATATATATATATTACAGAACACACAAATGTAATATAGATTTATCTTTATTTAAGGATCTCCAGGCGCCAGTTCCCAGAATTTGACGCAGAACTAAGTAACACTGATAATCCCATGCTACCCATCTCCATTCAAGATAAGACATTTATTTTTGTCAGACTCCCTGAAGAGGATGGCAGTACACAGTCTTCTAAAGGCGAACACCAATCTAGTAAGTGTTGATGTGGGCTTGCATCTAAGTATTTCAGATTTGTAATATTCTTATTAAATGCCTACCTACAAATACCCACCCACATAGGGTGGGTATTGCTAGTGAAAAATGGAGTACTGGAAATAAAACAGCTTAAGAATTGTCAAGAGGAGACAACTCTAGGGCAGTGTTTCTCAACCTAACGCTGCGACCTTTAACACAGTTCCTCATGCTGTGCTGACCCCAACCATAGCATTATTTTCCTTGCTACTTCATAACTGTAATTTTGCTACTGTTATGAAATGTAATGTAAATATCTGTGTTCTTCGATGGGCCTTAGGTGACCCTTGTGAAAGGGTCAGTTGAACCCCAAGGGGGTTGTGACACACAGGTTGAGAAACACTGCTCTAGAAGTTTGGGAGGGGAGTTCTCGACACTGTAATGACGCTCATTAAATACTTTAAGAGTCCCTGAGTGGCTGGAGACGATTTTGTCTACAGAGTCTTGGCAGTCCAAGCCCCTTCAGGAGGAAATAAGTTTTGTTTAATGAAATTTTCCTTTTACTTCCTTTGAGTCCGTTTGCAGAGCTGCAGCTACTGTTAAACAGATAAACGGCACATGTAATTTTGGGTACCTGTCAGGGTTGAGAAGGAGCAGGGGTTATGGAGTCTTTTCCCTTGAGTACATGACCCAAGTCACTTTAACATGTGGTAAGTAACAGTCAGGATTTGGTGCCTGTGGAGCTCCAGGGGCATCCATATTGAGAATCGATACATACGTGCTCATCAGTATTATTGCATTGGTTACGGCAATTTTGTTTGAATGTAGTTGTCTTGGTTGGTTTTGTTAACTTGACACAGCGAGAGTCGCTGAGACTCAAGGGAGTTTCAGCCGAGGAGCTGGCCAGATCAATTGGCTTGTGGGCATATGTCATGATGATTCATTGACGAGGGCCCACAATGGGTGGCGCAATCCCTATGCAGGTAGTTCTGGGCTGTGTAAGAAAACTAGCTAAGCGGGAGCCAAGGGAGCTGGTAAGCAGGGTTCCTCCGTGGCATCTGCCTCCGTGGCATCTGCCTCGACATCCTGACTGGCTCCCTGCTCGGAATCCCTCTAGTGGTGGAATATGCCCTGGTAGCCAGGTACATTCCTTCTTCCCCTAAGTTGCTGCTCTTGTCTTACCACAGCAATGGAGGACAGTAGGGGGCTTCTTTTGGTCTTGATTTAGATTACAAACTGACTTAGCAGACTTTACTCAGGACTGGAGAAGGGATGATTCAAATGATTCTTCTGGGAACCTATTGTAGTCGTCACAGTTCTCACCACCAAACCCTGTGCACTCAGCCTCCCCACCCCTCCCCCGGGCATGGGAAACCGAGCTGACAGGCAGCTTCAAAAACATCTAAGTCTGTCCTCCGTGGTTGTGTGCATATCCAATCCCATCATTCATTTTAGTTTCGTACAAATTGGATAATAGGATGAGTATTTTGTGAGCTGGTTTTAATGAAATGTTAGCTAATGTGTATTCACAAGCAGCTTAGTTAACCACCTAGGTACTGTTACAGATGTGGAAAGAAAGAAGATGCAGTCTCTTCACAGCCTGCTTTCTTGGAGGCTCTGTAGGGTATCTCAAGCATTGCTTATCTTGGTACCTGTTCTCTGTGTTAAAGAGAATGTACTTTTTGTTTGAGTGAGCCAGGGTCTTCTATAGTCCAGGCTGACTTTGAATTCTAAATCCTCCTGTGTCCACCTTCCTAGCCCTGGGGTTACAGGCCTATGCTGTCACGCCAGCTCAGGGCAGTGTTCTCTTCAAAGAAAAGCAAGTTGTCCGTTTTGGAGTGCTGGCAGAGCTTAGCTGATTGGCCGTTTTAATTAAAAACTTTTTTGCTGGAAAATTAGCCTCTTCCTTCAGAAAACTGGTTAAATATTCCTTGGAGAGGCAAATAGCGCTTTCTCATTAATAAGTTATTAAGTAAATACTACCCATTGTTACAAAGTGCAGAGTCCCAAGACGGGATTCATAACTGGGCTAGAATTTCAGAGAGGCTAAAATGTGTATTTTAGAGTCAGTAAAATGCACGGTGCACGCACATCTGAGAGATAGGGAGGAAAACGAGGCGCAGAATGAGGGACCTTTGGAAGTTTCTGCTCCAGGGATGACTGGGGGCGATGTGAGGTCAGCTACTTTCTGGAGAGTATCATTTCTTCACTAAAGAAATGAAGGACTGTGTGAGCAGCTGACTTTGTCTTTCTACAGCAGAGCACCACAGTACCCCATGATTCATCTGCTACCAGAGGGTACACAAAATCCTACGATGTGCCTATCCCCCGGTCCCCATCTTCCCTGAGGCAGGGTCTCACGTAGCCTAGGCTGCTGTTGAATTTGCTATATAGCTAAGGCTGACCTTGAACACTTCATCCTGCCGCCTCCCTCACAGCTCTGGCGTAAAAGGCATGCGCCACTATGCCCAGCTCAGTGCCTCAAGTCTGGTCTCTTTTTTAAAATTGCTCTATAGATGGGATCTCATATAGACCAGGCTAGTCCCAAACTCAGCATATACCCTTGAACTTCTGACCTTTTGGGGGATCAGGTGAGGGCCAGCCACCATGCCCAGTTCACGTGGTAAGAAGGCTCAAACCCAGAGCCTTGTGCTTGTTGGACAAACACTACTGACTTAAACTATATTTCTCGCCCTGCACTCCGATTTTTACTTTCACGTGAGACATGTTAACTTACTTTGTACCATTGCTGAGAGACTAGAGGAAGACCTGCTTATCAGTGGGACAGTGTGAACGAGTAATCAATGAATGACATCATAGTCCTCTGAGCTATGGAGGAGGTGGCCAGCCACCCGCCCCCTTTGGAAAATGACTTCCACGAGCCTTACTTTCACACTCCCAGATGAATGTAGGTAGTGATCGCACTATGTAGCAGCTGGCAGGGCATGAACACCACTGAGTCCTTGCTGCCGCCGCCGGGCTAAGGTTGTAGTGGCTGAAATACGGGAGGGCTGGGCAGGGGAGGAAAGAGAAAGTTGAGGTAAAGGTAGCGCAATGTCGTGTTTTGGCGTCAATGTGGAAACAGCTGAGTTTTGTAAGGGGGCGTACACCAGCTAAGACTCAGTTGAGTATGGTAATACTTTATGATTATATGATGTACTATTGGAGCTTATGGTTTCAAACTCCAACTGACTACTACTAGTACCTCAGAGGCTTAAGCCTTTCTCAAGTCCCTTCTACGGGAGTGGCCCATGTCAGGATCATGTAGGTGTTGCCATGGTAACCTTGTATTTCATACAAGATGTTTTATGTGGATTGATTAGTAGGAACTGCTAGCTAATTTTCCCATGGAAAATAGCATTATAATTTGGCAATTTATCCATGTTAACCTTTTTCTCTTTGCTAGATTTATATTCTGCAGTTACAACTTTGCTTCAAGGAAAGGACTTTGAAAGTGCAAAAACATCACAATTTATTGCATTTAGAAGGTAAAAGCATTTATACTGTGTTAATATACTTTATCTAATTTTTAAACTTTCTTAAAACTTTTTTAATGTACATTGTATTTAGGGGGAGAGACTTGTAATTTCCCATTGTTAATTCTCATTCTTACTTTGAAATATCTTTTCATTAGCCATGTCTGAAGGCTCTCTGAACAGGGCTGTTTTCTATCCAGTGCATTTATAATCTCACAAGAAATGTGAGTGGAACAAAATTTTATGTGAAGGAAAAAGTTAAAACACCTTTTCCCAGGTGGGTGTGGTGGCTTACGCCTTTAATCTCAGCACTCAAGAGGCTGAGGCAGGTGGATCTCTGTGAGTTCAAGGTCATCTGGATCTACAGAAACTGTCTCAACTGAGAGAGAGAGAGAGAGAGAGAGAGAGAGAGAGAGAGAGAGAGAGAGAGAGAGAGAAGCAAATAAACAAAAAACCCAAAATACCTTTTCCTAGAGGAAGTCCTAGAAACATCCTACAGGATCTACTGTATCGGCCCGACTCTTAGTGCTTGCCTAGCAAGTATAGGGCCCTGGGTTCAATTCCCACTTTCACAAAAACAATCATTAGGAAAATTCAGTGGGCCAGTGTCTGATTGTTGATAAACAGGCTGTGTAGCAGGCGCTACTGAAGTGATTTTGATTTTCATGTGTTTCAGGCAAGATTGTGACCTCATCAATGACTGCTGCTCTAAGCACTACACGGGCCATTTAATCAAGTGAGTCCCCCTCACTGACACCTCAGGGGACAGCCCTGCCTTGCTTTGCTGTTCTTGCATTTGCATGGATATTCGTCACGTAGGACCTCATACTCAGAAGTCGTACACTTTCCTCCAATCTGTGAAGCCGTAACGGTCGCGTCGATTAGATGGATTATACGCCACTAGGAATTGACTTGGGCAGTGAGTAGAATAAGATAAAAAATCAGGAATGCTCATTTCTCTGTGGTGTCCAGGTTGGCAGCTTTCAAACTTTCTGATGAGCACGGAGAATAGGGAGAATTTCTAATATTGGGTGGTATTTTCCGGAAGCCTGAGCATCAGGCTGTGTACAGAGAAGCCGTGTGAGTGACCGAGGGAATAGGGGTGTAGCTGAGTCAGCGTGCTTGCATGTAAGAACAGTTCATTCATATGCCTTGTGTTTGCCAGCCTGTGCTCATCACTGGGGTTGTGTAAAGCATAGGAGCTTCTGTCATAAGGAAGCTGTGTTGGGCAACCCAACAGAGGGTTCAAAACATGCTTGTTTGGGCCCATGTTATCGTGGTCCTAGTCACTTTGCTCTTGTCCGGTGGTTTTATGGTTCGATTTGTGTAAATGAAGCTGCTAACACAGAAGTCCCTAAAGGTCAGAGGGAGAGAAGAAGGAAAGGTAAAACCTACACACAGTGCTTTGCGGTGACCGGAACAAGCCACTGTTCATTGCTACTGTTGTAATTACTAGCAATGGACATATAAGAAAGTTCCCTCTCTAATGCCTGAAATTGCAGAATGCAGGAAGAGGGTGAATTTGCATGAAAAGGAAAAGGCTTTTGGTATAGAAAATGGATGAACCAGAGCAGTTACACCAACGTTTCTAATCGAGAGTTAGTTCAACCAGGCCGTGACAAGAGGGTAAAATAAACCGGTGACAGTTGAGACGGCTTGACTGCTTGACCGTTGGAGAATGAAAGTGATGCCAAGACATCCGCACATCATTTCATATCAGCTCCGAGTAGAGTTCGTATCTAAGTAGAATGAGGTGGGGACTGAAAGGGTTTTGATGGTGTGTGACCACTTCCCTAATACAGAGACCACGAGAAGAAACTGATCTTTGGAGTTGGTGATAAAATCTGTTGTACCCGGAACGCATACCTCTCAGATTTACTCCCTGACGAGGACAGGGAAGCCAACGGGAAAGGCTTTGAACTTGTCCTTTCTGATGCCGCCTCCTCTGATGCTGCTGCTTCTGCTGCTGCTGCCTCTTCTGACGATTTCAAAAGGAAGCAGGATTTTGAAAGTGGCATTCGACTGTGCAATGGGGAAATATTTTTCATAACAAAGGTGAGTCTTAGGAAATAATGTTTGCCAGTTAAAAAGTTTTTTTTTTTTGTTTTTTGTTTTTTGTTTTTAAAATCTTAGGTCTCATTAAAATCACACCAGGGATGACGTCCTTGTTCAGTGTTTCATTAAGGATTTTTATACATCCTTCTTCAGGATGGATATTGGTTTGTAGTTTTTGTCTTGTTTTGTTTTTCAACTTCTTGTCTGGATTAATATCAGGATGTGGTGGAATAATTAGGAATAGTTAAGCTGGAAAAGCATATTTTTTTTTTTTTTTTTTTTTTTTTTTTTTAGTTTTTAGTGAGAAACGAGAGAAGGAAACTTGTTTGTGGTAAGTCAGAAGCTCTAATAACAAAAGGTGAGGCAAGGACACAGCCAAGCTTAGTTGTGGCTTCAGTGTGGAAGCTTTAGCAGCTGCCCCTGCTTGTTCTTGCGTAGACCCCCCCCCCCCATACTTAAAATATTACCAAAGGGCTGTGTGGAGGAAGAGCCTCTGAGTTAGGACCGGGAGATCCTATGTCTGTTCATCGAAACACTAAAATGTGGAGGTGTCCTATTAAGGATGGATTTTTAAGCCTTTTCAAGTTTATTTGATGTTGTTGTTGCTGCTGCTCCGTTCTGGGTATAGAACCCAGAGCCTCACAAGTACCTATTCGCATGCTCTACAACTACAGTTTTGGCCCCAAGCCCCTGGAAATTGATTTGATGTATAAAGCTTGTGTTTTATGCTGCACCCCCAACCAGAATACCTTCGTCATGCGTATGCTTGCATGTATGCAAAGGTTTTTCTTTGTCTTGGTCCCAGGATGTGACGGATGTAACTTTCAAAGCAAAAAGACTTGTGACCATCAATAATGACGCTGGCTTGGAAGTGACTGTGGACTTCAGCAAACTAATGAGGTCCTGTCACATAAAACATGCCTGGGCAAGGACTATCCATACTTTCCAGGTGAGAGCAGATGTTTACAAAGTTGTTTGAATACCTGACTTGTGTAAGTTTTATCATCAGTGTGACAAAACGTGATTGAAGGAAGAGTGTTTGGGCTTATAGTTTGAGGGTCTGGGCCCTCATGGCCGGGAAGGCATAGAGGCAGTTGGGTTGCATTGCATCCATAGTCAGGAAGCAGAGAGGTGGATGCTAGCCACTCAGCTCTCATCTCCTTTTCGAATAGTCTGGGACCTCAGCCCACTGAATGAATGCCTCCCTATTTCGAGTGTGTCTTCCCACTTCAATGCATGCTCACAGAAGTGTCCAGAGATACGTCTTCTGGGTGACTCACGACCTCATCAGGTTGACAGAATTAACCACAACACTGACCACAACACGACGTACCTTGCATTGTTTTTAGTCTGTTTTGCCGTTACTAATTTTAAGTTTTCCCGTGATGTCCAGTTTTCATCTCGTCGTTTTGCTTTGGTTTCTGAGAGCTGCTTTCCCACACAGGACGTGTGCATGACAGGCACAGAGCTTCCTTGCTGTAGCCCAGTGAGCCATCTTCCCAGTCTCGTGCCTGAGCTCACTGCACCGATGATTTGCTGTACTAAGTCTTCCTGCTGTTTCCACCTCTCAGGGGTCGGAGGAGAACACAGTCGCCTATGTAGTGGGGAAGGCAGGCCGCCAGCACTGGCAACACGTCTACACCGCAGTGACCAGGGGCCGCTCCAGAGTGTATGTCATCGCCCAAGAGTCGGAGCTCAGGAGCGCCATCCGGAAGCGCAGTTTCCCCAGGAAGACGCGTCTCAAGTACTTCTTGCAGAAGCAGCTCCTCTCCAGCGACTGTGCATCTCCCACAGGCTCTCTGTCCCAGCCTTCAAGTCCTCGAGCTGGAGAAAGACCCAGCACACAGCCTCCAGCCTCACCCTTCTGTAGAACCCCAGACAAGAGAGCCACTACAAACAGTGCCCGGGGTGAAACACCTTCAGCCGCCAAGGAGGGGTCCGCCTTTGATGGAAGATGGCTGTCAACTTCTTTTAACGACCCAGACACCGAGGAGTCGGCGCAGCCTCGAGGGTCCAAAAGGACTGGCGATGACTTCCCATTTGATGAGGAAAGCCCCAGCAAATTCCAATTGGTAGGAGCAATATTCCCTCATGTTTGTGTTTTAAGTCTTGCCATCTGCAGTGTGCCTGGACAGGACTGTGTATTTCCGTTAGGGTACCACTGTGCCGCCAGGATCCCAAGATGTCTGATCTCTTCCAAAGTCGCCCTTCTGGTTCACTTAGCTCCTTTCTCATCCTTCCCCGAGGCTGCTGCTCTAGGCAGCTTCCGTTGACTGGTGGATTGATGGATGATGACCCATCATCTTCCATGAGGAAGCCTTCCACTCTGTCTCTCTTCCATCGTCCTTGTCACACTAGACTTGAGGTAATGGCCTTAGGGTGTGGCTTCAGTGTGTGGATGCGATTGGCTGAACAGGATGCCTCTGCACTCTCTCTCTCCCCGGGCCCCTTGCACTGGCTGGGTTTTCTGGAGCCTTCCCTTAGGTCTTGCCCTCGGCTCTTTCTTTGGCCATTAGCAGTTTCACTGGTTGCTACTGGTTCATTGTTGCTTTCTCTCGGCTCACGTGACCTTAACCTAGTGTGATGTGAGGCGTGCCTTTCAGTTCCGGTGCATTCATTCCTTACTGCTCTTCTCCCTCACGGCCCCTAGTTGGGACCCCTCTGCAGGCCGCGAGGATGCACTGTACTCTCGTAATTTCAGCCATCCCCTCTGCCTCAGTGTTTAAGTGGCTGACGTGATGCGGGTGCTGGGAACTGTGGGTAAGCTAGTGACTCTTTACGCTTGTGCAGACGAAGGCAAGTCCGGAAGTAACTTGGTGACTCACCGAAGAGCATTCAGGAACCAGTTCCTTCATGAATCTTTGTTCCTAGAAGCAGCCATTCTGGAACCATAGTCTTTCTCTGGTTCCCATTTCAATCCCCTTTCTCCTGGTGTAACAGCTTAAAGTCGTTCCGTCACATTATACTCACCGCATCTCCTCTCTCTACCTGTAGGGAGGTAGCCTTCTTGAGAAATGACCTGCTCCAGGATTCTTCTCTCCTCACTCTGCCCAGGCTTAGGTCCTTTTCTCACTGGAAGATGAACTGATTGCCCATTCCCATTGCCTTCTGGCCATAGTCCTCATATACTCCATTCCCTTGGGTGCTCAACTCCGTCCCTTTAGGTAAAGGCTCACTTGTGCCCCTAGTGGGCTTTTGTGACTTCTCAGTGTAGACTAGGTCTCCCTGCGCAGTGGGGGTTCCCACCGTCACCTCTTGGCTTCAGTCAATCTACTGTTTTTGTTCACCGGTTCACTAAAGGGATCATTTTTTCCCCTCATCCCTTTTTATATTTTGGAGAGGTAGCTATCGACAGGGTGACTAGACGGGAGAAGGCAAAAGGGAATACTCACAAATGATTCTCTGCTTTCTGGCTGAAACAGTGTGGGAAATAGCAAAGCCGTTTACTGGGATGAAAAAGTCACAAGAAGACCTCATTTGAGGAGATAACGTGTCTTCCTCCGGCAGGCAGTAACAGTTGCTCAGCTTAGAGATGAGGGATTTTGCATGACTTCTAACAGTGGTTTCAAGAGAAGCTTACCTCTTGATGTATGCACCTGCCACAGATGTGCTAGGTGTGTGTGTGGGGGCGAGTACTGGTGAACCTGCCCGGGCTCTAAAGGGTGATACTCATGCCCGGTGCCTGAAGAAGATGTGGGCACACCTATCACAGGTTCTCTAATAAGAGTCTGTGTGACACAGAGTTCTACCGTGAAGTGGTGGCAGATGTGGCCGCTGGGGGAGCATGGTGGGCAATTGAGAGGGAGGGCTGCAGACACAGGTGGTCAGGACAGATGGACAGAGTCTTCCAAAGAGCCTGCCAATTCTGATTGGTGTCGCCTGTAAGTGCTTGGGAATTGAAACCCAAGGAGGTGACCTTGAGCTTGGTGCAATTGATGGTGATTAGGGAGAAACTATAAGTTCCTGGCATAAAGAAACCCTTGGGTACAGTGATTTGCCTAAAGGCAGGTGCTTACAACAGGGAAGGAGGAGAGATGCTAAGAGCTGAGCAGATGGGTTCTAAGAATGCGCTAGGTATGGGTGTGGGGGTTGGTTGGGTCACAAATGGCACACATGTGTTTGGCCTGGGCATAGGGTGATCCAGGAATCATTAATCAGAATTAGAAGAAAGGGTAAGTGACAAGTTCTGTGGGGAAATGGACTGTCCTTTTTCTTCCATGGCGATAGAAGTAAACGTCGTGATCCAAGCCTCCTTCTACACCCAGTGCAGATAGGACATTTGAAATGGCATTTCCATCTTAGTGTGACAACCCCCTCCCCCCCACCAAAGTAAGCTTGCAAGGACCAGTAAAGGGACAATTCTAAAGAAAGAGCCTTCACGAAAAAGTTTCTTGAGTTATATTTCTTCTCACCGACAGAGGGTGGGGATTCTGATTCTGTGTGATGCTACCAAGAGAGAATGGCAGTGTTGCTCAGCCCCAGTCCCGTCTGCCAGAGCCCTCCGACATCGAGCAAGGCCGGTATTGCCGATGTGTGAACGTCAGAATGAAGTTGGGGCTGTTGTGTGCTGGCTCCTGTCCTTGCACGTTGACATCAGCCCAAAGTTCGTTCTCACAGGCTTTGCCAAAAGTACACGGCGTCTACAGGAATCCCTGTAAACAAGGAGACAGAATTCAGAACGTTAGGACTGGAAAATTAGAGACTTCTCTATTTCCATTACTCTAGATGAGGGTGTCATTTTTGAAAGAAAAAAATCCACTGGCAAGGGCTGTCCACGTGTCCTTCCTTCAAATAAATTCACGCCAGCATTTAAATTCGACGCGTGGCTGAACTGCGAGGAGGCCTCACGCTTTGGGAAATGCCTCCTTGGGCAGCTGTTCGTTCCACTGTAGTGTAAATACTGTCAGTGTGTGCTCACGACCAGCACAGACAGTTATGGCTATGGGGCCTCTGGGTGCAGTGGGAGACAGAGTAAGACTTGAGTTGTGTGAGTCTGCTTCACATGCCCTTTTACGGGGTGAAAAAAAAAATAAGTGGATCACACTCTAAATTAGTGGCTCTCGACCCTCCTAATGCTGTTGTCGTGACCCCCCACACCAGAAAGCTGTTTTCGTTGCTACTTCATAACTGTAACTTTGCTACTGTTATGAACCATAATGTAAGTATCTGTACTTTCTGATGGTCTCAGGCGACCCCTGCGGAAGGGTCGGTTGACCCTCAAAGGGGTCCATACCCACGGGTTGAGAACCGCTGCTATAAATTCATGGTAAAAATCATAATAAAGGCATCACCTAGAAGCATATTCACTGCTTAGTGCTATGTACTGAGCCCATCAACAGGGTTATGTCTGTGGCTACTACACCGCCCTGGGCAATAGGAAAATGTTAGCTTCATTCTGACCTTAGGGGACTGTTATTATATTATTGCAGTCCATCACTGGCCCAAATTTCATTATGGCCCGGGACACTACTGATGGCTGAGCCCCCTCCTTGCTTTCTTGCTTTCTAGTATATCAACAGCTTTGGGTTTTGAAAAACATTCCCGAAGGGAAATATTGACTTGAGCCTGCTTCGAAAAAATAGGAAAAAAAAAAAAAAAAAAAAAAAAAAAAAAAAAAAAAGAAAGAAAGAAAGAAATACATTTGTGTTTTCTGATGCAAATATCTGATTGAATGCTGCTAAATTTATCAGGATAAGACAATTACTTCCAGAAGATATGTTTCTACAAAGTTTGCATTGAAATATGAAAAGCAAGCCAGATAAGACAACCATAATGGCCGAGGGAAGGCCAGCCCCTGTATTGGCCAAAGTTCTCTGGGAAGCAGTGCCATTTGCAGGGTCTGCTTGTCCATCTGAGTGTCTGTCTGAGTAGACTCCATTGGGAGGAACCTGCTCAAGCAGTTGCAGAGACCCGCGTGGTAAATTTGTAGAATCGAGTGTAGACAACGCTCCCGCATGAGCCTGAAATCGGGCAGCTGCAGCCTTCCTCGGAGAACGAGGGTCTTTTTTCCTGTTAACACTTTCAGGTGACTGCGTGAGGGTCCACCCACCTCACAGAGGGTAATTCATGTATCAGAGTTCACCGGCTTAAATATTCATCTCCTTATGCCTTTGTGGGAAATGCGTAGAGTGATGTGTGACTAAATCCAAGCTCCACAAGCTCAGGCAATTTGGTGCAAGTGATCGATTAGCCACGCCCAATCTCTAAGATGTACAGGCATAGATAGCATCGTGAAGATGAATTGTATTTCTCGGCCTTTTTCCTATGCTGTGAAGGGTGAGGGCCATACTGGCCTGGTGGCTGCTGCTTTGGGCATCACCGGAACCAGGAAGAGTGTGACCCTGGGACTGCCACGCTTCCTTGTACCACACAAGAGCTGTCTTCATGGGTGTGCAACCTGCCAGTGTTGCAGGACTGTGTGCTTGGGGACTCGTTTCCATCCTGACATTTCTAAAGTTTGCACAGTGAACCTTCACTGTGATTCCATGCCTGGCTTCCATACTATGTAGTAAGCCCTATCCCTTGCCTTTAGAAGTTAGATGCCTATATTTAAGTAGTGCACAGTTACTTCTCCGTGCCAGGCCCTTAGCTCTAGGTACAGGCACAGACAGGCACAGATATGATCCTCCAAGGAGCAGATGTCCTACCCGTTGGTGGGATGCTCAAGCATTCAAGGATTGTGAGGAATGCATTATTTCTTCAGGGAGAATGGAAGTGCATTTGGTAGACAAGGTATGTTTTTTGTTTGTTTGTTTTTTATAACATTAACTTTATTTTTGTTTCCACACAGGTTGAAAAACCATCTCCACAAGTGTCTTCTATATTTCAGAATTTGAGGTTGAATAACCTAGCTCCTCGACAACTTTTCAAACCCACTGACAATCAAGAAACAATTAAGTCAGGTGTGGTGGGTCACACCGATAATCCCAGCAAGCAGGAAGCAGACACAGGAGGATCTTGAGTTCCAGGCCAGCCTGGGCAACATCATGAGACCATGGACAGGCACCACCACCAATGAAAACCTCCAAACAGAAAGAATTTTACTTCGTATTGCTCAAAATAATTATTTTTCCTGGGTGCTGGAGAGATGGCTCAGTGGTTAAGAGCACTGGCTGCTCCTCTAGAGGTCCTGAGTTCAATTTCTAGCAATTACAAGGTGGCTCACAACCGTCTATAATAGGATCAGATACTCTTTTCTGTCACGGAGGAATAATTATTTTTCTCTTCAAGACTAGAGTGACAAAGTGAACATTTTAGCTTCACTGTTCCAAGCTAAGAGAATATTGCTTCGAACTGGGATTTTAATTTGGGGCATTTGTATTTGGGGCATTTTTACTTGTATTTTTAAATCTGAATTTTAAAATGTATTTTAAATTCACCCAATCAAAGCAAACCATTCCGATCTCATCCTGTGTCCGGAGATTGCAGGGAATGATGTCAGGTGCTTAGGAACCCCCCCCCCCCGCCCCGTTTTAGGGGTGAGTTTTGTGATAATGGTGCATGACCACTGTGGGTCACCTTTGTGAGTTTACTGAAGCAGAGGAAAGGTGGGGTGACCTTGATGGTCACACATTCAGGGGTGCTAAATTTACCACCACAGGGGGGCATTTACAAAGGCCTTCACTCACTCAGTCCTGCTCCTGGGACTCAGCATTCTTGGGACTTTCCTTGGCTATGCGTTTTCCTAGTTGGGAGTAAGTCTTGAAATATCCCATTGTAGGAGCCTTTCTCTTATGGCAGATTGTTTATTTATTTATTTTTTTAACGTGTTGATTATCCAGTGGTACTGTGGTTTGAATGGGTCTCCCACACACAGTGTGGGTTGCACTGTGGTAGTGGATGCCTGATAAAAGTCACTTTTTGATGTCGTAAGATATGTTTTTTTTTTTTTAATTTTATATTTTTGATTCTTTTTGCCATGGGATGGCAGGTTCTCATTAGATGTGCACACTTCTTGAGCTTTGCTTTATTGCAGTTCTCGGATAGTTATGTTATTTATATATTGCCATTCTCCTGCAGCTCAGGTCATAGAAACTTCTGGCAAAGTATTTTAGTTGTTTTCCTGTCAGTACAGAGACATTTTTCTTTCTTTTTCCTTTTCTTTTTGGGCTGGGTTTAAGCCCAGATGTGGGGATTCATACATTCTAAGTGAGTTCTTTACTACTGAATTGCATCTCTAGCCCTAAACATAACTTTTATTTGTACTGAAAAACAAGCAAACAAAACAGTTGTGGGCTCTTCTGATTGTAATATTTCCCTGTTGCTGTGCTGTGGGGGGTTCTAATCTGCAGTGTCTCCAAGACACGCCTTTGTGGGTCAATACATTCATTATTCTGTTTACTAAGTTGTCCAGTCTGTTGATTTTATTTATAATAACACAAGGAACTAAGACCAATAGTAAAGTAAAAAGTTAAGTATTCATTAACTTAATGTTTTTAATAGTGTTATGAAAGAATCCTATGCAGTTAACCCACTTAATGAATATGATTCAGTAGCTTTCAGTACAGTGAAAGAATTGTAAAGCTGTCACTACAATTAATTTTAGGGCATTCTCAAAACCCCCCCTTCCCCAAGCCTGTACCCTACTAGACATAATCTGCTCATTTTCTCCAGCTAACTGATTTGTCTTTGTAGCTTTGCCTATAATGCATGGCTCCTATAAGTGAAGCCATGCAGTATGAAGTCCTTTTGAACTTATTCCTGAACAGTGGTATTCAGATTTCATCCATATCATATCAGTTAATATATAGGTAATTCAACTCATTCATTACTGAATAATATTCCTTGAGGTGGGTACATTGCATGTTGAATTTATCCATCCTTTAGTGGATCGACAAGATGGTTTCTACTCTGGCTGTTATACTTAATACCACTCTGAACATTTGTGTTAACATTTTTGTATCTAGATACATATTTTCATTTCTTTGGGTTATGCCACTAGGTAGAATTGCTGGGTTGTATAAGTCTGTCTTTAGACTCTTAAGCAATTAGTATTTTACATTGTCACCAATAGTTACGAGAATCCTGAATTTCTCCAATATTGTGTGTGTGTGTGTGTGTGTGTGTGTGTGTGAGTGAGAGAGAGAGAGAGAGAGAGAGAGAGAGAGAGAGAGAGAGAATGAGTATATGGTGTATGTCTACCTGTGTGTGTGCATGGGGGAGGGTGCGTGCATCTCTTTGGACATGAAGGAGGAAGTTGAATGTTCTGCGCCATCTCTCCCTTAAACCCTTCAGACGGGGTCTCTCCATGGCCCAGGAACTAGGTTAGTGGTCAGAACTCTCCAGCCATGCTTCTGTTCATTCTCCTTAGCATTATGGTTACAGGTCTGCATGACCACATCTGGCTTTTTACATGGGTTCACGGGTTCTGGGGTTCAAACTCAGGCCCTCTACCTTGTGTAGCAAGTGATCTTTCTCTGAGTCATCTCAGGCCTTTACCATTTTTATTTTTTTTTTTAAACTGTATTGCCATAATAGGAGTAGGGCAAGGTATTCTGATTTTGATTTATGTTTTCCTTATGGCTAAAGACACAGAGGCAAGGATCAGCTTTAATGTATTCACTGGTTTTTTATATGTTTTTGGAAAGTAATCTATTCCTGTCTTTTGACTTTTACATTAGGTTAGTATCAAAATCTTAAGTTCCTTATGCTACATGTAATATATATGTATATACATATATACATATATATGTATACACATATATATACATACATACATGTATACACACATATGTGTGTGTGTGTGTGTATATATATATATGATCCACATTTTTCTTCTGTAAAGTTTTATGTTGAAGGACATATTTTTAATTCCAGCGATGTCCATTTAGGATATTACTGCTTGTGATCTTTTCATTTTGATATTATAGCCAACAAACCATGGCCTGTCCAAAGCCATGAAAGTTTATGTCTACATTTTTCTTCTAAGCATCTAACAGTTTTGGGACTTGTATGTAGATGTTAGACTAACTTTCAGTTAGCCTTTGCATAAGGTGTGAGGAAGGGGTCCTGCTTCACTCATCCATTGTCTGAGCTCCATTTCCTGAAGAGATTGTCCTTTTCCCCATGAGTTATCTCCGTATCCATGTCAAAACTCAGTTGTCTGTGTGAAAATGTGTTATGGCTTCTCATTCATATCCCATAGGTCTGTATGTTGGTTTGTAAGCCAGTAACATATCATGCTGTCTTCATGACTGTAGTCTGTAGTACTGTAAAGTTTGAAACCAAGCACAAACCCTCTAACGTGGCTGTTCTTTTTCAAGATTTAGTTGTTCTGCGTCCCTTGGGGTTTTGGCTTGGGACTTGCTATGTAGACCAGGCTGGCCTCCAAGTCAGAGAGGTAGGTCCTTCTGCTTCTGCCTTGAGATTAAAGGCTTAACTATTGTGACTTGGATTCCCTGCATTTCCATATGAATTTTAGCTTCCAGGTTTTGTGAAGAAGCCAGCTGGACATCTGGTGGGGATTTTTACTTCAGAAACCTTTCTAGGGCTGCGGATCAACCTCATTTTAACATGGACTCCTAGGGTCTACAAGGACTGTCTTCCGTTTACGCCCATGCCCTCTAGAGCATTGCATGTTGTATTTCTACATTGAGTTACATTTACTTTTAAGGCTATATTCTTCTTGGTATTATTACGTCGGCACCTTTCCTGTGTCTGTTCTTGTCTGTGTGGAGGTGTACCTGCACGTGTGTGTACCAGGAGGAGGCCAGAGGTCAGCCTTAGGCGCCATCCACCTTGTTTTTGTTTGTTCTTGAGAAAGGGTTTATTTGTTACCTGACGATCACTGGCTTTTTTGGCTGTTCAGTGAGCCCCAGTTTTGGCCTCTCAGACTCCCCAGCAGTGGGGCGACACTCAGTTTTGAGAGTTCAAGTCTTGAGGAGTTTGTCTAAGCCATTTAACCGGTGATCAAGATAGTCCCCTATAGCCCTGCTGTTTCTGTAAGGCTGGAATCAGTGCTCTGCTTTTCCTCCTGATTCCAATAACTGGAGAGCCCCTTCTCCCTCCGGTCAGTCCACCTAATAGTTTATGAAATTCGTTGATATTTGTAAAAAATTATTTTTATTATATTCAATTGCATGTATGTACGCGTTTGTGTGTGTGTCTATGTGTGGGAATATGCCTGTGAGTGTAGATGCCTGAGGAGGCCAGAGGCATTGGATCAGCTATGATAGTTGGGAGCTGCCTGACCCAGGTGCTGGGAATGTTCGCAAGTGCAGTATGTGGGCTTAATTGCTGGACCATCTCTCCAGCTCCTGGATTGCTATTTGTATAGTTCCACAGACTGCTCTCTCGCTTTTATGGTGGGAAGTTTATTAACTTTCACTCTTATTATGTAGGGCTGTATGGCGTCTGACATGAGGGTTAGTCAGCATTCAGGGGTCTTGGGACAGTTTAGCAATAAATAATTGGCATGGGGGAGGGGTGGCAGAGCCTGTGCTTTGCTATCTGTCTAGTTTATGTGGAAAGGATGGTTCCTGGTGAGGAATCTTTTCTGGATCCCAGGGGGTGGTGGGCACAGAGGAGGGAATGGTATCTACCAAACTAGTAGACAGAAACTGTCTTCAACTATAGCTGTATTCTAGAGTATAGGACTCACAGCCTAATGTCATCAAGACATATTAACTTAGCCTGGTTTCCTTAGGACACAAAGAAACAAATTATATGTAACTGTGTCTCAGCATAGCTTCTGGCTGGCCTAGGAGTCACTCTGTAGATCAAAGAGATCTCCGTCTCTGCCCCAGAGTGCTAGACCTAAGGGCCTCTCCCTCCACACCTGGCAGGGACTAACTAGCTTTTATACAATGATTGTACTGTGGGGCCAAAATACAAATGATTGACCTAATTCCATATTGTGGCCGCAGTCATTGGGAGAGAGCATGTCTAGGAACCTCGCAGCTTGCTAAGACGGAAGGGTTTTCTAACATGGCTGAGTACCTGGCTAGAGGCCACCAGTGTTGCCCAGAGTGGTTCATGCTTTATGCGCTGTCCTCCCTGGACGGCCACGATCATTGTATGACACTCAGGCTGGTCGCTGTATTTGAAAACTACTACCCAAGACTTTTGGGCTCTATTTTAATTTTCTTTTTACAACAGCTATTTTTGTATTGATTCATTTATTTTGGATTCTATTTAATCCCAGCGTCTCATATGAGATCAATTCTCATTTGTTTGAATTGGCAGGATTGGCTCTAACCACACTTCCTGCTATTGACTTTCACCTTGGTTGCTGTATAGACCTTACGGTACACAGGACAGCCAAAAATATGAACAGTTGTTTGGGGTCTACAAAGAGGGAATAGGACTTCAGTTGGGGTCATGTGACTTCCACGTGTTTATAATGAGCCCCTCCTCCCCCTCTTGCACACTGGATGAAGTTATGTAAAAAAATGAATGTGAATTGACAGAGTCTGGAGACTACTGATGTAGTCCTTAAAAGACTACAGCTAAAGCTTATGTTTTAATAGCTCATGTAAATGTGACTCCAGGAGTGCACAAAGTGCTGCATCCATGAGTTAGGAACTGTCATGGTTCCTCAAGAGAAGGAGGAGTCGGTTTTGAAAGTGATACTGTGTACAGGCCCTTCCTTGTATATTTAAAAGCGTATTCTGTAGGCTCTTTGACGTCGCCTTCAGTTATCACAGGTGTGGAAGCCAGATGCCAGCAGGTAAATTGCACACCACTTTATGAGTACCAGAGTTAGCATCCAAGCCCGGATCTGACTTCTCAGCTCCATTTCATCCATTGTGGTTTTCAAGTTGATGGGGACACATCCCTCCTTCCTGGAGCTGTGGGAATGGACTTTGTATAGCACTCAGGCTGGGACACTGAATCACAGTCAATGCACCAAACATGCAGGTCGTATTTTTTATTATTATTTTATTTTGGCTTTTTAAAATCAAATCACTGTTTATTCCATTTGGTAGAGGATTTTTTTTTCCATACAAATATTTGCAACAATTTTGAATTCCCCAAAACCATACATAGACGATAAATACCATGCTATTAAAGTATTAAATTTGTACAAAAATACTTTACAGTTTAATACTTGTTTGTTACAAACAAAAATACATATTTAAGTGACTCATGATCTTTTTATTTTATTATTTTTTTTCCTTAACAGGATTCTGTTCTATACTTCCTTGCCCTGGCAGTTCTGAAATGTGTTGGAAATTATATATTACTTCTTTGCACAGAGAAGGATGAGTCATTTCCCTTAAACTAAGGACACAGTGTTTGCCTGTGCAGGTGTGTTAGTGACCAAAATGAACATGTTTGGAAAATAATTGTTTTGACATTCTACCATCAATATACAGGTCTCTATATTTCTTTAAATATTT